ATTGTAATGAGAAAATTTGTATTTACAAAATATTAATTTAGTTTATTATAATGTCATAAGATGGCAGTGTTTGTTATTAGAAGACTAGTTGTATATTAGTCATACAATTAATTTAGCCTCAAAGTGCAATTTATAATTAGAATCCATATATTTTTGAATTTATAGTGATCTAGCCTAAAAATGCAATTTATAATTAGAAGGCCACATATTTTTGGATTTATAGTGTCACGTGACCTGAAAGTGGTTGCGTGACCTGGAAGTAATTGCGTGACCTGGAAGTAATCACGTGACCTGTGACAGTGATTGCGTGACCTAGAAGTGATCGCGTGACCTGAAAGTGATCATATTACCTTTTACAATGCTTTATAAGATTCTAAACAGTCAGAAATAAATCAAAGATTTCGACATTCTAAATTGTTTTTGTCTTTCATTTTACCATAATTTTGTTTTTCCTTTTTATTGCTTCCTCCTTCTCACTCAACAATGATGATGATGACTGATATGATAATGAATATAATTATATACAGATCCCTAATAAGATTCAAGATATCAAATGAGATGCGGAATGCAAAACATGCTTAAATATGTTTGTTTAACTACACAATTTTGTGGAAAAAACTTTTTGAACTTGACTTTGTACAATACTTATGCCTACAATAGAAGATAAATAAGACCAAATAAGTTTTTGTTTTAGTTTTGCATTTCATTTGATATCTTGCATCTCATTAGATATGTGTTTGAATGTATACTACAACCTTTCTGCAATCAAGTGTATATGTATATTTAGAATGTATACCAACTTGTGTACTTCCTAAGAACGCGCGCGCTCATTGGTTAATTGGAGGTGAATATTGTACAATATTCACCTCTGAATATCGGAATGTTGAATCGGCAACAAAATGTCATCTGCCGGCAATCGTTTTGCTACAATTTCCGATGAGGAAATTGAAAAAATGAAAGTAAATGCCATTCTTATCAATACTAAAAAGGCAACGAAGAATTTGTCACGCAAACTAAAAGTTTCTGTTTGTTTGTTTTTATTGAATTATTGTATATAAAAATAAGTTAGAGTGCACGCACTAAAACCGTGAACATTAAATAGTACTAATATTAGTACTATTTCATACAGAATCCTTTGTTTTCTATTGTTTAATTATCACTTTTTAGTGCTAAAAATTAGTATTTGTTTCACGGATTTAGTGTGAGTACTCTACTCTGTCACAAGTTGGTATATGTTTAAACAATTATTCGCCGAAGGCGAAGTGAATTTCGGGGAACTTTTTACAATCAAGTGTGTTTATATATATATCTCTTTCTTGATTGCAGAAAGGTTGTAGTATACATTTATACACATATCTAATCTCATATACATTTAATAGTAATCTCCCAAATACAACATTTCTGCAATCAAGCGTATATTATATCTAGAATTCCATACAATAAATCTCTATTATAAAATTAACAAATAGACATCAGTTTTTTATGTGTCTCTCCTCTTATTGACGATAAATTGCGTCATCACATTGTCAAAGTAGTGTGGATTCACGAGGCGTAGCTGAGTGGATCCGCATACTACTTTGACAATGTGATGACGAAATTTATCGTCAATAAGAGGACAGACACATAAAAAACTGATGTCTATTTGTTTTTTACAATAACAAAAACGATAAAAACTTCTCATTTTTAGCGATCAAAACAACCAACGGAAAGAGCGCGCGC